GTTCTCTTTTTATTTTCGGCTCTAGACGGTCTCTCCTCAGTTCATCTTGCGATTCATCGCGACTAGAAGTGTTTCAATCAAGGCGTTACCGTGACTAAGGAACAGCGCCTGGTATGTAACATTCATTCCTGTTAGGTAAATGTTTAACTCCGGAGTAATGGCATTTCTAACTTTCTTATTAGTTCACAATCTCCAGTAAACAAGGAGTAACCTAGGTTTTACCTTTTCGTGCCGAAAAATGAATTAGCAAGCTGTTGCAATTTAATATGCGACGACGAGGAATTTGTACAAAAGACTGCTTGAAATCGTAAAATTTGCTAAATACATTTATGTTAAACTGCCAAAATCCAAAAGTAAGTAACTCTTCTAGATACAAAACGTTTCAAAAGAAATATTAAATGGAAAAGGTCTGTAATTATAAATGTACAGCATGGACGCCACATTAACGTTTTTATGCCGAAAAAGGAACTAGCAAGTTGTTGCAATTTCATATGAGACGACGAGAAATTTGTACAAAAGACTGCTTGAAATCGTAAAATTTGTTAAATACATACATGTTAAACTGCCAAAATCCAAAATCGAGTAACTCTTCTAGATACAAAACGTTTGAAACAAAACATTAAATGGAGAATTTCTGTAAATGTACAGCATTAAAGAGTGAATTCACAGAAAGATCCGAAAGCCGCGACTGTTCAGTGCAGAAAGAGAAAACAGTTTTATTTTTACTAAACTATGCTAAGCTTTTCATTCGATATATTTAAAGGACACTTATCATCTCCAGGGAATAAAGCTTTCAAATCAGTTTAAAGGAATATCGGAGACGAGGCAACAATTTCTCTTGAACGAATCAACTGAGTATAGGCTATACTGGCCAAAAAAAGGTATCTTAATTTGTCGATCAATCTTTTTCCCTGTGTGTTGTCCCTTCAGTTCAATGAGCTGATCAGTTTAGTTTTTAAGAACGTAATTAATTTTATTTAATTTTGCATGTGGTCTTGGCCAGCTGCAGATAGACAAATTAAATCGTTAATTAATTCTTGCTCTTTTTGAATTTTCCAGGAAATATACAGCGAACATAATGTTCAATTCTGCAATTATTTTGCATTGTTCCATAAGCATAAAAATTGAATAATCAGTTTTAAATCAAACAACGAATATTCACTCAATTATTCCGTGAGGGGGCGTTGGATGTTCCTAGCAACAAGTCTGTTACGTTATAAACATCACGTATCCAGCAAAGGGCAATTAGAAAAATTGTTTCATTAATATTTTAGAGATGAGCGACCTAGGGTGTTAGCAGGACCTCCCTCTTCCGCCTTGTTTCCTCTCGCCCCAGTTTT